GGAATTCGGACGCGTGAGCAGAGAGATAAGCTTGTCGGAAGGAACCCCAGTCTCGCAGGTATTCCTGACCGAGCAGATCAGTTCTAAAGGATGCGAAGGACGGTGCACTTCCAGGCCGATTTAGTTTCCGGGTCCTTCATGAGAACCATAGAAATTTGAGTCTTCTTTCCAGAACGTCCAAGAGCATTCAATTCGGATCTATGAGCAGAAAGATACAGTCTCCGGAATGGACACATGTCTAGACGCCTCTCTCTAGTCGTGTACATGCACTGCAAAGATGTGCCCTCCAGGAAGCCTTACACTTCCCAAGCACCGAAGCTTTCTTCACCAAAGTTGGAGATAAATGAGTCCTCTGTCTTCTGCAACCAAAATCATTCAATTCGGACAAGTCTCATAGGAGTTACACTCTCCGGAATGCGAAGTGGTCTAAGCTGCTCTGGATGCTGCGAGTTGGAGAGGAAGGAGACCAAGCCGCAGCAACACTCGCAAATCACTCCGACTTGAGCCTGCGACCTAGGTGCAATAGAGACCAACCCGCACAGTTTGTACATTCCCCAGAAACCGCCTTAGCCCTGCGAGTTGGAGAGGAAGGAGACCAAGCCGCAGCAACACTCGCAAAACACTCCTACTTAGGCGTGCGGCTAAGACAAGGCGATTCAGGCTTCACAAGACAAGTCTTCATCTACTGCGACTTAGGTGTGCGACCTGGGACATACTGGACTGACCCGCAGGATTTCCACTTGACCCAACTGAGCCGGGTCAGTACCCAGTTTGTCCTGGGCTGACCCGGTCCATTAGCACTAGGTATATATAGTTTTTTGGGAGAAAAACCCAAGGGGATCATCTTCTCTCTTAGTTTTTCTCTAGTTTTCTTTCCTTTTTAGTGTAAAAACGTTTTTGATTAAGAGAGATCTCAAGGATTTAATCAATCTAAGTCTGTTTCTCATCATCTCATCATCTCATTTCTGCTTCTAATCATGATTAACATCATCTCTTGCAAAAGATTAGATGTATTCTTCATGATTAGTGAGTAGTCATCTTTTAAACTTCTAGGTGTGTAGATTAGGGTGCTTAGATGTTTGATTGGTGATGTTTAGGGTTTAGATTCTCATTCCATTTCCTTAGTTAGTTGCTCCTAATGCCAGATTTCCTTGGGAAAGTGAAATCTGGGTTCATAGGCATTTCATGCACCAAAAGTGTTTGATGAAATGCCTGAATGAGCTAACTTAAGGGTTTATGCCTTTTTCATCATGGGAATGATTTGTTAAATGCATGAATGACATATTAGAACTGTTTCTTAATGCTCATTGATTCATATTTCACAAATGATGATTTGGTTTGAAAGTGGATTAGTGTAGAGATTAATGCCTTCATGAGAGGATTAGTCTAGATTAGAGTTCTAAGTTGAAATGTTTGAGATCATGTGATTGCTTGTTATGTCTTTCTGTATAAGATTCAGTCTTCTTGGTTGAGAGATTGTTTGGTCACTTATTAGGCTTGATGCATTATGCTTGCTGATTGCTTGATTATATCTAATGGTTGTTAGACTTGATTAAGTGATTTGCAAAGGGATTATTGTCATGGGAATGAATTAATCTGATTAAGAAGCCTAGACTAAAGAGTAGCAAGTGTTGCATTATGTTCTTAGCATCATGATTCAATATCTAAAGCACCCTAATCAATGATCACATCTAGAGGTTTAGTTTTTATCATTTGCTTAATCACCATCATCTTGTTTTGTTTGCTTGCTTAGTTCATTAATCATAGCTTGTTTGTTTCTTGTTTTATGCTTTCTTGTTGCTGGTTTCACAAAACTCATCTTTGATAACTTGACTTAAGAACCTATCACATAAACTAGTGCCTAACTACCACACATATGGATTGACACCCCTTATACTACTTTGACAAGGGGACTGATAACCCATCTAAGGCTTTAAAAACCTTAGTTATCATTATGTATCCCACAAAGCTCACTGAGAGAGTTGTTGGTTCGTGAAGCTCACAGCGGTGGTCTAATGGGCCACTTCAGTAGAGACAAGACATTAGATATACTCAAGGAGCATTTCTACTGGCCACGCCTCAAGAGATCTGTAGAACAGTTCTGTTCCACTTGCGTGGTCTGTAAGCAAGCAAAATCAAGAGTTCAACCCCACGGTCTATACATGCCGCTTCCCATACCCACAATGCCTTGAGTCGACATCTCTATGGACTCGTCCTCGGATTACCCAAGATCCGGAACAAAGACTCCATATTTGGAGTGGTGGATAGGTTCTCCAAGATGGCAAACTTCTTGCCTTGTGCCAAAGTCAATGATGCGACGCAGATAGCTGATCTCTTTTTCAAAGAGGTGGTGCGTCTTCATGGGATCCCAAGAACCATCGTGTCAGACCGAGACGCCAAATTTCTCAGCCACTTTTGGAAGACCCTATGGAAGAATCTGGGAACAAAGCTGTTATTCTCCACAACCTTCCACCCTCAAACCGATGGTCAAACAGAAGTTGTGAACCGCACTCTTGGCACCTTGCTGAGAGCCATATTCAACCCCACCACGCCACTAGACCTAGCTCCATTGCCCCAATCAGAAGCCATTAACCTGGACGGAGTCCACAAGGCTGAGGTGATCAAGAAGCTACACCAGAAAGTCCGAGATAATCTTGAGAAGAAGAACGAACAATATGAAGCACAAGCCAACAAAAACCGCAAGAAGATAGTTTTTCAGCCAAGCGATTGGGTGTGGCTGCATATGCGACCAGAGCGTTTCCCAAACAAAAGGACCTCCAAGCTAGCACCAAGAGGAGATGGCCCCTTCAGAGTCCTTGAGAGGATCAACGACAATGCATACCGCCTATAATTACCAGGTGAGCTCAATATCTCACCGTCATTCAATGTCACTGATCTATCTCCTTTTGATGCAGGTAATGAAAGTACTGTTTTGACGTCAAAACCTGTTCAAGAGGGAGGGAATGATGAGGACATCCAGCCCAAGCCAGCTCAAGAAGTACCTTTTGTGCCTAATCTCCCAATGACACGATCAAGGTCAAGAGCTCTTCATGACAAATTTAACTCCTACGTGACAAAGGCCCTTCATGCACCCGATGATCAAGACCCAGACCGTTCCATCATGGACTTAGCATCAGGAGGATCTCATGGACTAAATACTCTAGAGGCCAGCCCAGGCCGTCAAGTTTTGATCGCGGCCCACGACAGCAACGTTCCAACATCGCCCGACTTAAGTCACACTCAAGAGAATCTCCAGCCCAACAAAGCTTCGGCTAAGCCCAAGATCGATTTCATTTTTGGAGCTTTACAAGAGTCCAAGACTGGAGTGACCATTTCTCTGTGCACCCGCAAGACTTAGGCCGCATAAGAGGCTACATTCATCAAAGGAATCAGAGAAAGAAGACACTTACCATAACCGGCTCATGCGCAAGAAAACTAAGGTAAGTCTTTGAATTGATTTATATCTTTTGACTAACATTTGCCTTGTTTTGTTTCGTGTGATTCTTTCTTATTTTAGTTGAATTCTAGCATTATTAGAGACAATGTAATCTCCTTTAATTTTGCACTTTTCCTTTTATAGTCCTGTTGCAATTGAGTCTTTTATTTTCTTGAGTCAAGCCGCTTAGACGTTATATAAGTCCCTTTACGGCTGTGTAATAATTTTTCACCTTTGATCATCAATAAAACTCAAATTTTCTTAAGACTTTCTCGTCTTTGTGAGCCTTTGTTCTTGTCGAGATAACTCCAAGACCAGAGAAGGAACCCTTGTCTTTGTATCACGGAAATTCCCTCCATCCGTGTGGTGAGACCTCAGCCGCCCTCAAACCATATTACCAGGAGTTGATGAGAGAGCTCTCAGCCAGCTACACCTCAGATCCCTGGCCGAGATACGAGTAGTCACTAGTGAGATTCTCCTTGTGCCTACATCAGGCGGGTAGCGTGTCGGTGGTGGCCCAATCGGTGTCAGATCAACAGATGTGACAGAGAATAGCTCTCAGGGTGGCGCGTTATGACCTGCCTCCGCTGGAGGTACGTTTTGGGTCGTAACCGTGGTTACCACCACAAGTTCTGTTGGAGGGACTCGAAGGTCTGGCCTTGCGGCAGTTTGGGGGCTCGATCCGACGATCGTGAGAATTCTTTGATGATTGGTTTGAATCCATTTTCTTGTTTGCAAATCTAGGATCCGTTCTTCATAAAGAAAATCTGATAAATTCTTACAGACGGCGCCAAAATGTGGTTGCTAAATTCCACACTAAAAAATTTGTATATAGTTTTAAGGAAGAAATTTACAACGATGAGCCACATTTGTCTTTGAATCGATCGAGTATAGACATGTATTGAAGAAATTGTATTTATATTGATTTAATCAGAGATGAATACATGATTTCTCAAACATAAAGAGTATAAAAAGATAACTGTAATGCTAGGCTTTTTCGAAGGAAGAGATATATGTTATTTGTGTGTCTCAAACTCCCTTTATACTTTTATTTGAGATTCGAACTGCTGCTATGTATCTCGGGCCGTGTTATACCATTTTCGTGATCTTCGTAACGGCTTCAAACTGGAATATATTTTTGATTTTGACCTTGACTGGATATCATAGCTTGGAGCACGCTTAGTTCGCACCTTTGAAGTGATATTTAGTTGATCTGCAAATGGTTTGATGGGCTAAATCCTACATTGTAAGCCAATATTTATTTATTTCAAATCTCATCATTTAAATATTTAAAATATAATTTTCTGCTGAGCTTGTGGAGCCGACCCAGTTATGAAAAATCTAATTCCCATAAGTGTTGCGTAATTGGGAAACAACAATTAAATTAAAAATAAAATAAAATAAAATAAAAAGGAAAATCAACGGATTTAACATATTTTGGTTGATGTACATAATTGTAAAGAAGGATAATTACAAATTATATTTTGTTTAAATATATAGTTGGTAGAATAGACAAAACAGGAACCTATATAAACAGGCTTTCCCCTCCTGCAATAGACGAAGCGAATACTCTGATTCTTCAGCAACGATGAAGCGATCAATCAACGAAGTTTTCAGATCGGTGAGTACACTCGATGTCGCCAATGGAAACCGCAGTAAGGACCGGGACCGCGACGTAAATCGGCACCGGGAGAGAGACAGAGGGCAAGACCGCGACAGGGAGAGAGGCAGAGGGCGTGACCGCTGTGAACGAGATCGTGAGCTGAATCGACGAATTCAAGATTGGGAGCGGGAGGAGGAGGCCAAGGCTCGGAAGAAGGCGCAGGTTGAGAAGTTAGTTGAGCGAGAGCGGGAGAAGGAACTCGACGCCATTAAAGAACAGTACCTCGGCGGAAAGAAGCCGAGGAAGAGAGTCATCAGGCCAAGCGACAAGTTACGTTTCTCTTTCGATTGGGAAAACACCGAGGATACCTCTACGGATATGAACGCTCTCTACCAAAACCCTCACGAAGCTCAACTTCTGTTTGGGAGAGGGTTTCGTGCTGGTATGGACCGCCTCGAGCAGAAAAAGCAGGCGGCCAAGCACGAGAGGGAGATGCGTAGGAAGGATGGTGTAGTAGAGAGACCAGAGGAGGCGGATACATATGACTCGTTGGACATGAGAGTTGATAGGCACTGGAGAGATAAGAGATTGGAGGAGATGACTGAAAGGGATTGGCGTATTTTCAAGGAAGATTCCAACATCTCTTACAAAGGCACGAGGATTCCTCGTCCAATGAGGAGCTGGGAAGAGAGCAAGCTCACTTCTGAGCTTTTGAAAGCTGTGGAGAGAGCTGGCTACAAGGAACCTCGTTCCATTCAAATGGCAGCCATACCTCTTGGACTGCAACAGCGGGATGTTATCGGCATTTCAGAGACTGGTTCTGGTAAGACTGCTGCTTTTGTTTTGCCCATGTTAGCTTACATATCTAGATTGCCACCGATGAGCGAAGAGAATGAGACCGAGGGTCCTTACGCTGTGGTTATGGCCCCTACTCGGGAGCTTGCGCAGCAGATTGAGGAGGAGACTGCTAAGTTTGCGCATTATCTGGGGTTTAGGGTGACTTCTATTGTTGGTGGTCAGTCGATTGAGGAACAGGGGTTGAAGATAGCACAAGGGTGTGAGATTGTGATTGCGACTCCGGGTCGTCTGATTGATTGCCTTGAGACGCGGTATGTGGTGTTGAATCAGTGCAACTACGTGGTTCTTGATGAGGCAGATCGGATGTTAGACATGGGTTTCGAGCCTCAGGTTGCAGGTGTGTTAGATGCGATGCCTTCAAGTAATTTAAAACCCGAGAACGAAGAAGAAGAGCTTGACGAAAAGAAGATTTACAGAACCACGTATATGTTCACTGCTACAATGCCTCCTGGGGTACAAAGACTCGCTGGCAAGTACTTGAGGAACCCGGTCGTTGTCACCATTGGTACTGCAGGGAATACCATCTCGGAACGAGTGCTTTGGATGAAAGAATCTGACAAGTTCTTCAAATTGCAGAAACTGCTCGACGAGCTCGGCGATAATACTGCAATCGTGTTTGTTAACACAAAGAAAAGTTGTGACTTTATTGCTAAGAATCTGGATAAGGCAGGATACCGTGTCACGATCTCACACGGTGGGAAGTCGCAAGAGCAGAGAGAAATCAGCTTAAGAGGATTCAGGGCAAAGAGATACAACGTTCTTGTTGCGACAGAGGTTGTAGGCCGTGGAATCCATATATCCGATGTGGCTCATGTCATAAACTATGACATGCCTAAAGATATAAAGATGTATACACACCGTATCGGACGTACAGGACGTGCTGGGAAAAGCGGTGTTGCGACTTCTTTCTTGACTAGAAATGATACTAGTATCTTCTATGATCTGAAGCAGAAGCTTGTTCAGAGCAACAGTGTGGTGCCTCCTGAGCTAGCGAGACATGAAGCGTCCAGATTCAAACCAAGAAGGGTTCTTGATAGACCCCCAAGACATAGTGACACAGTCTATATAAACTGAGTGGAGTCGCTAGGGTCTGGATTTGCTCTTGAATATGATAGTGAAGGAAGCAGTAGCAAGTGGGATAGTTGGAACTTGATAAACTTTTGAATTATTTACTGCTAGTTAATTATATTTTAGTATATCTTATTGCTTATAAACATTAACCCAAAAACGCATAATGCAGAGATTTTCTTTTTTGGCTAAACTACTATATGCAGAGTTGCAGAGGTTTTTTTTTTGTATTGTGCATACGCTTACAATGCATGTTGTTTAATGTTTTTTTTCCAAATGATTGTCATAAAACTTAAAAATATGCTAATTTTAGTTATCTTATATATACTAAGTGAATATCCATGCATACGCGCGGATTTTAATTTTGTTAGAGTTTTATAAATGATTTCATACTACTTTATATTTGTGATTGATATTTTGGTATAACTCATTGTTCAATGTTCAATGAAACCTCTAAATTGTTCTTGTTTTCTTTTATGTAAAGCAGTTTTCCTATAAGAAAGAGAGATAGCAGTTTTCCTATCAAAGTCTATTGTTTGGACGAAAAAATGTGTTTTTGAAAATTTTGTTAATCATTTTAGCAGCATCTAATAACATGGATCGACATGTCCTATCGTACGAATAACCCGTGGTCTAGACAGTATTTTGGACTCGCTTTAAAACAGAAATGAAGAATTATTTTCCTTTTTATCCCAAAAAAATATTACACAAGTCTGCAATCTGAACTTATTTGTATGTTGTTCAATTTCAAAACACTAAAGAAATGCATGATCAGTGATATATAAAACCTGCAAATAAACACATAACGATCCATTTAACTTTTCTTTAACTCTAGCTCTGCAAAGGTAAAAAAGAATTGGATTTACAAGCAGATGATGTGTTGTGTTTCCTCTTCCTGAAGACACCGAAGCCTTTCTCCCACGAATGGGAAATACTTCTAAAGTTTGTTACTTACTCTCCGACAACAGATTCATCCCTCGGTGGCAGCTTTGTCGACTTTTAAGACCCTCTCCGTCGAAATTGCTTCTGTGGCTTGGCTCTGGACTCATGACTATAAATCCCCGATCTGATCTTTCAACAATCAGATCTGAAGTCTCCTCTCCCTGCCTTCATTTCATGTGAGTGGCCATGGCAAAAAAGAATTTCGGCCTCGCTCTCTACTCATCGCTCAGACTCTCAACTGCAACTTCAATCTATAAATGCCGAAACCCAAGATTTAAGAGAGTTTTGAATTTTTGATATGAAGATTCAGAAAGTTATTCATGGAAAAAACAGAAACGTGAATGGATACCTAAGTGAATAGATAGCAAGACTTATGATCACCTCTCTCTTTTTTTTGAGGTTGACCTATAATAACCTATGATATATATTTCAGGTGCTTACTATTCTAATTGTCTGAAAATATTAGTTTCTTTAGACCACCCTTTAGTAACTTCCTCTACAACTAAGATAAGTGTGTCATACGACGATGGACATTTTAGAGGTTTATCATCTGAATTGTCAGATTTTGCTTAAGCCCATGAATGAGTTCAAACATGAATTATATAGGATTATAGAAAATAAAGAGCTGGAATTAATGGCTGAGAAGCCATAAATTAGAAAAAAAAAATCTCTTGTGCCACAAATGAGTCTGAGTGCCATAATAGGTGTGATATGCCCATTTTACCCTTAATGAAGGGAGATGATGGCATTCTTGAATTGTGATGATTTTTGGTGTTTTTTTAAAAAAATCGAGTTAATTGAAAATTGAAAATTGAAATCGAAATACCAAACCAACAAATCAATTTCGGGTATTATCAAAATTTCTGGGTATATTAAACCGAAAATTAGGGAAATCAAAATCTTCATCCCGCGTATGTAAACCCTAAAAGCTCAAACGAACACCTTTAACCCAGATATCGATCGATCTGCTCGAATCTTGTAAACTGTTGCGTATTTTCGTTCGTAGCGGTGCGCCGGCGTCCTCTGAAGTCGGGTTATTCTCCGTAACTCATTTCTCCTCCGCCATTTCGCTTTAAGGTGAACATATTCTGTATTTTGGGGATTTTTCAATTTTTCAATCGATTTGTCAATTTCGGTTTGTTTAGGTTGCACATTGGATAGTTTAGTTACTTATATAGGTTGATTTAGTTTTCTCTGTGTTAAAAAATGTAACGTGGTGCGGTAGAATCGATCTGATTCGAGCTGAATCGTACAAATAGTGAATCTGTGGGAAACGGGACAACTGGTACAATTGGTAACTGAATGGAATGGGACAACTGGTACAATAGGGATAACTTAATGAATTAGGAGAAGTGGTATAATTGGGATAACTAAATGAAAGGGGACAACTGGTACAATTGGGATAACTGAATGAAATTGGACAACTGGTACAATTGGGATAACTGAATGAGATATGTGGGACAACTGGTACAATTGAGAAAACTGAATGAAATGGGACAACTGGTACAATTGGGATAACTTAAAGAGATATGTGGGACAACTGGTACAATTGGTATAACTGTGAGTAAATTTTAATTTTCTGTAAATCATAAAAGCCTTTTTTTTTGTATTTATGAACAGAAGAGGATGAGCGGCCACACAAACATACATTTTGAGTATGGAGGATATTATTTTAAGGAAGGAGAAGAGTTTAAATGGATTTCAAGGAGTTCCATCTATGCTATATCATTTAAAACATCTATCGACGAGGTAACCTATTCGATGGTTGTAGATGGTATATGCAAGAAGATTGGGCTAAACGATAGTACGAAGAAGCTCAAGTTAAGCTACATTCCATTGGTAGCTAAGCCACGCAATGAGTCACGTATTGTTGATGATGGTGATGTGTATGTCTATCTAACAACTCTGGACAAAGATGGACTTAGATCTGTGTTGAATGTGGAGATAATGGAAGATCAGAGTGATGAGCTAGCAACAGGGGATAATATGCTTGATATGAGGAAGGGATGACTACTTACACACCGGTAGAAGCAGGGAAAGAACAGAATGAACTTGCTATTGTGGCCGTGGCAGAGACTGAGAAACAGATGGTGATCGATGATGTTGTTTCAAAACCCGGATGATCCATGCACATGTAGAGCCTGCAGAGGATATTATTGGATGAGGATGGATCACGTAAGAAGCCTGCAGGGCGAGAAAGAACCCA